TCTTTAAGTGGCAGTATCTGTGTCCTAGCATCTGTGTATGTCTTAGTGTCAGTGTTGGTAAGTGTCTGTGTGACCCAGTGTCTTTGTGTTCCAGTGTCTCTATATATCAGTGTCAGTATACCACAGTGTCTGTATTTTAGGGTGTCTTTCTTATGTCCCAATGTCTATGTGTCTCTGGGTCTGTGTATGTTTCAGTGTCTGTATTTCTTAGTGTCAGTGTGTCCCACTGTCTATGCACTCTAGTGGCAGCATGTTGCATTGTGCCTCTAGTTTCAGTAATTCTGTGTGCCTCAGTGCCTGTATCCCTGTGTCTCTATGTACCACTATCATTGGGGGGTGTGGGGGTGTGTGTGTGTGTGTCTATGTCTAACTGTCTGTATGTCCCAGTGTCTGTGTATCAGTGTTTTTTTTTTTTTTTTTTTTGCCTCAGCATCTGTATGTCTCAGTGTCTGGAGTGCCAATGTCTGTGTATCTCAGTGTTTGCGTATGTCCTAGTTTCCATGTTTCTTAGATTCTGCATATCCCATTTCCTGTTTACTCTTGTTTGTATAGGTCCCAGTGTTTGTGTGTTACAGTGCCTGTGTTCCAAAGTAACCATGTTGCCATATGTCTATCTGTTTCAGCATCTTTTTGTGCCTTGGTGCCAGTACCGCAGTTTCTGTGTGCTTATCTCTGCATATCCCAGTGTCTGTGTGCTCCAGTGACTATGTATTTTGGTGTCTGAATATTTTCTGTATGTCCCAGTTTCTAAGTACCCCAGCATTGTGTGTTCCAGTGTCTGTGTGCTACAATGTCTGTGTCAGTCTGTGTGTTTCAGTGTCTGTGTGTCCCAGTGGCTGTTTGTCTCAGTGTCTATGCACCAGTGTCTTTTTTCCCCAGTGTCTGAGTGTCCCAGTGATTGTATCCTCCAGTGTCTCAGTATGTCCAAGTGTCTATGTGTCTCAATGTTTACGTATCCTAGTGTCTATGTACCCCAATGTCTATAAGTTTCATTTTCTCTTTACCTGACTGTGCACCAGTGACTGTGTGTTCTAGTGTCTATGGGTCTTCATGTCTGCACTCAGTGTCTATATGTCACAGTGACTGTGTGTCCTAGTGTCTGTAGACCACAGCCTCTCTGTACTCTAATGCCTGGGTGTCCCAATATCTGTTTATGTCCTAATGACTGCATGTTCCAGAGTCTGTATGTCTTGGTGTTTGTGTATTTCCTAGTATCTGTGTTCCTCAATTTCTATATGTTCCAGTGTTTGTGAACCCTGGTGGCCATTGCATGTTGCATTGTCTCTTAGTTTCAGCTTTTCTGTGTACCTCCATATCTGTATCCCAGTGTCCATGTGTCAGAATGTATGTTTGCCCCAGTGTCTGTATGGCCCAGTTCTGTGTAGTCACACTGTTTGTATATGCCTCAATGACTGTATGTTCCAGTGTGTGTGTCCCACTTTATGTAGGTCCCAGTGCCAGTGTACCTCAACTCAGTGTATGTATATCCCAATGTTTGCTTGTTCTACTGTTTGAGTCCCAGCATCTATGTGTTTCAGTGTTTTTTTATGTCCTTCTGTCTGTGGCCCTTAGTGTCTGTGTGTCCCAGTGCCAGCATGTTGCTGTGTCTTTGAGCTTCAGTTTTGGTATGCTGCAGTCTCCGTACCCCAGTTTCCTGTGTACCAGGTTCTGTGTGTCCCTCTGTCTGTGTATCCCAGTGTCTGTGTGTACCAGTACTGGTGTACCAGTGTCTGGTCCCATTGTTTCTGTGTTCCAGTGTCCCTGTGTGTTCTGACATCTGTTCTGGTGTCTATGTGTGTTAAATATCAGTACATGCCAGTGTCTGTGTGTGTTTTAGTGGATACCTATGTTTCCCAGTGGCTGTATGTGTCTTAATATCTGTATGGCAAGTGTCTGGCTGTGTTCCAGTGTTTACATATTTCAGTTTCCTGAGGTTTATGAGTTCCAATGTCTCTGTTCTGGTGTCTGTGATTTCTATTGTATATTGTTGTCCCATATCTGTAAGTCCTTCGTTCTCTGTAAGTCTGTGAGTCTGTGAGCTTCTGTGTCCCATTCTTTCTGCACCCCTATGTCCTACATCCTATTAGTCTCTGTGTTTCTGTGAGCGCATATCCCTATCTCAGGGTGCCCCTGAGTCTCTGTATTCCCTTGCTCCTGTCTTTGTCTCTGGGTGTCCATGATCTCTGTATTTTAGTGTCTGTGCATCCTTGTTCTTGGATGTGTTTGAGTTTTTATATATGCTGAGGCTCTGTCCTAGTGTCTGTGTCTCTCTGTCTCTATATACCCATTCTATGTCTCAGTGTCTGGGCACCCAATAAGCCTCTGTGTTCAAGTGTTTGTGCATCCCTATTTCTGTGCATTGCGGAGTTTTTGTGTGTTCCTGATTCTTTATATGTCCCTGAATCCTTGTGCATCCCGGAGTCTGCATGTTCCTGAATCTTTACATGTCCTTGAGTCTTTGCATATGATCTAGTGTCTGCATCTCTGTATCTGGATGCCCACGACCCTCTGTACTGGAGTGTCTGTGTGTTCCTGTCTCTGGGCATCCCCTAGTCTTTCGTGTCCCTGAACCTCCATGGTCCAGTATGTGTCCCTGAGTCTCTGTATTCTCGTGTCTAGGTGTTTCTGAGCCTCTGTGTTCCAGTGCCTATGTGTTCATAAATCTACATATGCCTCCTTCAGTGTGCCCTGTGTTAGTGAGTCCCTGAGTCTGTACATCCCTGGAACTTTGCTGTCCATGTCTGTGTTTCTGTTTGTTTTGGTATTTATCCTTTTCTCCATCTATTTTCTCCAGCTTTTGTCAACATCTCTGTATTAGTGTTTCTTTATGTTACTGTGACTGTGTCTTAAGTGGTTCTGTGATTGGATGCCTCTTTTTATCAGTTCCTGGGTACTTTCCTGTGTGTTCCCATGATCATGTTCCTGTTTCTATAAGTATGGGTGTCCTTCTGCATCTGTTTCTCTTTCTGTCTCACTCTGTCCCTGGTTTTGTTTTGATCTGACTCATCACTTCTGTGTCCCTGCCTCTCTGTTTGTGTCTGGTGTCTAGATTCATGTCTTTCGATCTTTGAGCCACTATATCTGTGTCCCTGGGTCTGATTCACTGTCCCCATCCCTTCATTTGTGGCCTTGGTTGCCTGTTTGTGTGTCACTATTTCTGGTGTCCCCAGGTGAATCTTGATTCTATGCCTTTGCATCCCTGCCTCTCTGAATAGAGTTCCTTTTTGCTGTGTTTCTGTCCATTTGTTTATATTCTGTGTGTCTGTTTCTACACATCTAGGTTTCTTTGTTCTTATCTCTATCTTCCCAGATATGTCCTTGTGTTTCTGTCCCTGGGTCTAGCCTGTGTCCATGTGACTGTGTTTGTGGGTTCACAATCCCATGTATACTTATTCTAGGGTCTCTGTCTCTGAATTCCTATGTCTCTGTCACTGTGTCACAATGTCCCCATTGTTGTACCTGGGTCTACACCTTGCCTATTCTATGTCTCTGTTATCTGGCCTGATTTCTATCTCTTTGCTTGTCACTGTTCAGGTGTCCAAGTCTCCTTGTCTTTGTCTCTGGATTTCTGAACATATGAGACTGTGCTCCTGTCTCACGTTTAGTGTGTTCCTCTGCCTATGTTTCTGTGTTTGTCATCAAGTCTGGGTCTCTGTAATATCTCTGTTTCTACATCCCTTGTATGTCTCTGGCCCTGTGTCTGTAAGTCAGCATGTCAGTGTATCTGTGTTTCTACTTCCCTGTCCCCGGTGTCTTGGACTATGGTCCTGACCAGTGAGTGTCTCCCTGGTTACCTGTGTCTCTGTGTCTGCTCTGTGTGTCTTGATCCTTCTGCTCTTGTGTCTGAATCTCTGTGTATATCTATCTCTTAGTTTGTATGTTGTTATGTTTCATGTCTCCACATTAGTCATTGTGTGTCTGTATCTGAGTGACCTTATTTTTGTCTCCTTGCCTCTTTCTGACAGGGACAGTAACTCAAAACCATGGAGACACAGAGGCCCAATAAGAGCATCTGTTTCTTTTTTTCTGGGTCATGTCCCTGATGCTGTCACTCTGGCTCCCTGTTCCCTTCTTTGTATGTCTGTGTGTCCTTATGTCCATGTTTCTGTTTTGTGATCCCTGTGCCTGTGTTTCCATAAGTCTCTGTCCCTCTATTTCCCCATCCAAGTCTGTGTCCTTGTGGCTGCCTTTCTGTGTGTGATCCTATGTCTTGGTTGTGAGTATATACATATATGGCTACTGCTGTGTCATGGGATCCTTTTTTGTTCATTCACTAATTCATTCATCATCCAGCAAATATTTACTAAGCACCTACTATGTGCTTGACACTGGGGATACACAGATGATTCAGAAAAGGTTCTTGTCCTCAAAGGGCTCACAGTCTAGATTAGGGATCCAGACAAGTAAATAGATCATTACTACACAGTATGATAAGTGCTGTGAGCTTGGAAGGGGTGGGGATGAGCTATGGGAACAGAGAGAAGAGGACCAAACAATCTAGGGGAGGGGTCAGAGGAAGTGACAACTAAGACTTGAAGGATGAATTAAATTTGCCTACATGAAGCAAAGGAAGAATGTCCCATGCAGGGAAAAAAGCACATGCAAAGGTCCAGTGATGGGACAGAGCATGATTTGTTAGGGAATCTCTGTGAGCCTTAAACACCATGGGAGCAGGGGAAGGTTGTGAGCAAGACTGGTGACTCAGTCAGGTTTTTGTTTTAAGAAAGTCATTACAGCTGTTGTGGAGACAGATTTGGAGGGAGTAGAATTTGGAGACAGGAAGGACTGTGAAGAGACAGAAGTCTCTAAGACTCTAGGCCCACAGGTCTGCATACCTGTGTGTTTATGTATCCTTGATTATGTGTCCCTTAGCACATATGTGAGTGTATGTGTCCCTTTGTGTGCCTCCGTGTCCCCAGGTCTTTGTCCCTGGCTCACCTCATACCCTGGTCTCTGGATCTAACAAATTCAGGTCTCCTGGCTCTGGACTTCAGGAGCCATTATAGGACATAGGCAAAATAGGAGTGGCCCAGTAGCTGTTCTACATGAGAGCGCTTCACCAGCCAGCAGGAAGCCCACCGGGGCAGCAGCCTTGGTGAATCCTTCAGCAGCCTCTTGCCTAGAAGCACAGGCACATCTGGGCCATGGGGCCTCCGCAGGCATGGCCCCATAGGCCCTGTCACCAGCCAGATAGCCGCGTTCTGGAACTGCCCTGAGGGACAGAGAGATGAAGTGCTGGTCAGGCAGTGGCCTGAACCCCTGCTCAGAGCCCCAAGAGGAGCCTAAAGCAAGAAATACAGAGGGAAATGTGGGAGAGAAGAGGGCAGCAAGGCTCAGAGGAGGGAACAGGCTGGGCATTGTGGGAAATGTGCAGGAGCCATATGGGACAGGAGTGTAGTATGGAAGTAGGGAAGCAAGGTGGATGAGATGGCAGAGGAAGAGGGACAGCCAGGCTTGAAGGAGAAGACACGGCAATTGGAGGGAAAGAGAGGAGAGGAGGGGGAGGCCCGGAGGAGGTAAAAATATCTGCTCAACCCACTATTGCTGCCCAAACTGTTTGGTATGGGCCTCTGCTTCAGGTCTCTGTCAGTGTCTCCTTACCTACAGGCTGGCCTCCTGCAACCTCCCTCCACAGCAGCCTCCAGAGTGACCTTTGTAATACCCAAATCTGGCTATGTCTTTCCTCTGCTTATAACTTTTCATGGCTCCTCGCTGCCTTCAGGATAAAGCCAAATTCCTCACCCTGACATTCAGCTCTGACAACTCCAGCTCCATCTTTTCTGACTTCTGTTCCTTTCCTCCACACATGCTCAGCCTTTCAGGCACAGCGTGGTTGGGTCTCCCTCCTCCGGGAGGTCTTTCTTGAACTCTGAGGCCAAGCAAGATCCCCCACCCTGGATTCCTATAGCTCCCTGGGCTGCTTTCTGTCCGGTATTGATCCCTGCCTGTGGTCACTATTCACGTCTGGGTCTGTCCTCTCCCCAGACCAGGAGCTCCCCTATGGCAGAGCCTGGCTCTGATTTCTCTTCGTGGTTGGGGTATAGGTGCCTTTCACCCTGGCAAGGTCTTTCTTGAGACTGGCCCCTCTCAACCTCAGCCATACTTACCCATCAGTCCACGGGCTGAAGGACTGAGGCCTGAGCCATTGACCACGTAGAACCCCAGGTGGGGTAGTTGCAGGGTGCTGGGGTGTCTGTAGCGGTGCCTGAGGACTAGGAACTCAAGGTAGGGCCCAAGGCGGAGGGTGAGGCGGCCCGAAGCAGCCACATGGAGCTTCAGATGGGGCCTCCGCAGCAGGGCAGGCTGGTCCCAGGACAGGCGCAAGGTACCCTCACCTCGCACAGATATGGAACTGCGGCTGATGATAATAGTGTAGGCCTGGGGTTTGCCTGTGGTGACTGTGATGATCTGGAAGTAGGTGCGGGTCTGGTTCTTGTGGCCTGGCCTTGATGGTGCCCCAAGCAGCTTCCCAGTCACATGCAGCCCTGGAGGGAGGGCAGTGTAGGCCTGGAGCAGGGGCTTTCATGTGGTCATTCACATGGTCACCCACAGCACGGGCAGATGAAGTACTACAGATTTTTGGTTAGAGAGCTTGTTTCTGAGAAAAAATGCTTCTGCCATGGTCCACCCAGCTGCTCCTTCCTGAGCAGTGTATGAAGTGGGGGAATATAGTATGTGTGTACGCACTCACCTCAGTGCAGCTGTTTGCATGCATATAAGTGTGTTTGCCTCTGAGTGTGTATAATGTGGGTGTTTGGTTATATTCATATGAGTATCTCTGGGCATACGGGTACATCTGCTTGTTTGGAGAAAGTGGTATGTTAGAGTGTGTATTTTTTAGTTGTATGTTTATGTGTGCCTCTGGATACATTGGTGTTACATATCTTGGTGCAATAGTGTATATTGTGTGCATCTGGTTGTGTGGTGGTGTGTATTGATATGTATCTGGGGCATTGGTGTGCACACATCTGGATGTGTGTCAGTGTGTGTCTTGATGGGTATTTCCTGTGCATCAGTGTGTTTCATGTGACTAGAGTAGCAGAGTATATGTGCCACCTCTGTGTGTTGAATTCTTGGGAATTGGGATGAATCTGCGGGTATCAGGGCCTGTGTGTCTGAGTGTGTCGATATGCATGTCATTGTGTATATCTGGGCATATATTGTGTATCACTGTTTGTCTGAATGCATACTTGCATTTTTGTGGGTGTGGGGACTGTCAAAATATGTGCATCTTGGTGTGTATTTGTGTGAGTTTACTGTATGCCCGTGTGTGTGTGTGTGTATTTGTGTCTTGGTGTTTGTCCAAGTGTATTTGTGTATATTTTCATGTGTGTTCTTGTGCGTTACTGTGTGTTAGTGAGGCACACTGCTGTGTGTCTGAGGTATTGGTGTACAAATGTCTGGGGGTATTGACATAAGTATATCTGGCTGTGGTGTTGTATAGGGATGGAGTCTTTGGGGTTCTCACCTGCCTTTGGGTCCTCTATGAGCTGTAGCAGGTCCCCTGGGCGCCCGTCTAGTGTGAAGCAGATCCTCTCTTCTGAGCGTGGGATGTGGATCACAAAGTGGGGGTCCCCATCCACTGCAAGGCAGGAGATGCAACTCTAAGGTTATGACCCTGGAAGCAATGGAAGGGAGAAAGGGAAGGGGCCATATCTATTTCCCCAGAGAGAAATCCCAGCCCTAGTCCCAGTGCACAAGCTGTCCTGTACTCATGCAGGAGGGTCATGGGGGTGGCTGGCTTACCTGAGGAGGAGAAGGTGAAGATGCTTGGAGACGTGCCTGCAAAGGAGAGAGGGACTGTGTTGCTGAGGGATTGATCTACCACATTCTTAAGAACTCTGGGACTTCCTCCCAGATAAGGGTCAAATTCCTGAGTTCAGCATTTAAGGCTTTCCTGAAATCTAGCCCCCGATTAGATCTCCAGTCTTTTCTTTATACTCCATCCCAACCAAACTATTCTTATGAGTACCCCACCTTCTCTTGCTAGTAACCATTTGCTCCTGTTTTTCCTGCCACCTAGAATGTTTTCCTTTCCCTTAACTACCAAGGACCAATTTCTAGTTATCTTTCAAGGCCAGCTCAAATACTGTTTTCTCTTGCTCTGTGTCTATGGCAGGTAGAATTCTAAGGTGGCCCCCAAGATTCCTTGGTGTGCACACCCTGTAAAATCCACAGAGCTGTGAATATGATGAGCTATCACTCCCAGAAATGGGTTATGTCATATGGACCTGTTGACCTCAAGAAAGGGAGATTATTCAGGTGGGCCTGGCCTAGTCACATGAGCCCTTTAAATCTGGATCTAGAGGTCAAAGACAGAGAAGTCAAAGAGGTTCGAAGTGTGAGAAGGGCTTGACATGAGGGGGATGCTCCATGGCTGCCTTTGAAGATGGAAGGGGCCATGTGGCAAGGAATGTAGGAGATCTATACCACCTGAGAGTGGCCTCAGGTCACCTCTAGGAGCTGTGAGTGATGCCAACAGCTAACAGGAAACAGGGACCTCAGTCCCCAAAACACAAAGAACTGAATTCTGCCGACAATGTGAATGAGTGTGGAAGAGGACAAGAACGCAGTCTGACAGACACCTTGACTTCTGTCTTGTGAGACCCTGAGCAGGGAATCCAACTAAACTGTGTCTAGAATTCTAACCTACAGAACTGTGAGATAATTAATGGGTGTTCTTTTTTGTTTTTGTTTTTTTTTTTTTTTTTTTGAGACAGAGTCTCACTCTTTCCCCGGACTAGAGTGAGTGCCATGGCGTCAGCCTAGCTCACAGCAACCTCACACTCCTGGGCTCAAGCAATCCTTCTGCCTCAGCCTCCCGAGTAGCTGGGACTACGGGCATGCGCCACCATGCCCGGCTAATTTTTTCTATATATTTTTAGTTGGCCGATTAATTTATTTTCTATTTTTAGTAGAGACAGGGTCTCGCTCTTGCTCAGGCTGGATTCGAACTCCTGAGCTCAAACAATCCGCCCGCCTCAGCCTCCCAGAGTGCTAGGATTACAGGCGTGAGCCACCGCGCCCGGCCAATGGGTGTTTTTTTTTTATTTCAGCATATTATGGAGGTACAGATGTTTAGGTTATGTATGTTGCCCTTGCCCCCCTCCCCGCCAAGTCTGAGTTTCGAGTATGCCCATCCTTCGGGTGGTGCGCATTGCACTCTTTGTGTATGCATATACCCGTCCTCTCCTCCCCCTCCCCCCTGCCCGACATCCAATAATTTTTAAGATGCTAAATTTGTGGTAATTCGTTACACTGCATTAGAAAACTAATATATTGCCCTCCTCTGGGCTCCCACAATGTTAATGAGAATTTGAATAGAATGTAAATAAAGCCTTAGAGGATCTTTGCTAGGGGAGCTTTTTGCTTACCTTTTGCTAGCTCCACAGAACTTCCCTGAGATTCCATGCTGCCTCCAGCTCCTCTCAGGATGTCCTCAGAATCTCCATCCCAATGAGGGCTTCCTGCCAAGCACAAAAGAAATAAAAGGCTGGTACAGTGGCTCATGCATGTAATCCCAGCACTTTGGGAGGCTGAGGCAGGAGGATCACTTTGAGGCCTGGAGTTCAAGACCATCCCAGGTAACATAGCAAGACCCCATTTCTATAAAAATTAGGAAAATTAGCAGGACATAGTGGCACCTGTGTAGTCTCAACGGCTCAGGAGGCTGAGGCAGGAGGATCTCTTGAGCCCAGGAGTTTGAGGTTGCAGTGAGCTAGGATGATGCCACTGCACTCTAGCCTACTCAAAAGAGTGAGACT